CCCCCCCCCCCCCTCCTCCCTCGGGGGTGTTTGGTGCCCTAGACACATTTCTCGATTACATTAGCCTTGGGACTACCACTCGCTGGAACGTTAATATTCTCCGTTCAGGAGAGAAAGCATCAGATTAACGCATTTCACCACTTTTTTACATGACCATTTCGCTGATACGTTCTCATTTTGAATATATGAAACCATGGCTAGCAGTGAAATAATATAAAGACCTAAGTAATGGGCTCCTGTAAAGACTACATTATCATGGAAGTAAACTTACGATATTGAATGATTTGCAGATGCTGGAAAGCTGAAACTGTAGTTGGCCGAATTACAAGAAAACGTGTTGCTCACTTTGCATACGTTTGACTCTTCGGGGCAGTTTTGCTTTGGTTGAAAATCGTAGCAGGCATGAGATGTATTCAAGAGGAATGTTAACGTTGGACGCGAAGGACTGGGAAAATTACCAATGTAAAAATGACCGGCCTCATCCTGCGAAGCAAAACTGTGGTAAGAATGTACAAACGAAAGGCATTGTGGTTAAATAAAATGGAAACTCTGTCTAAATAAAAACTATTGTGATATGAACTGGATTTTGATCTGTCTTGAGTTATGGCGACCCCTCGGGTGATAAGTCGATCAGAAAAACTCTCATGACGCCTCTTAGGGACTACGCAATATTTATCAGAAGGGGGTAGGAGAAATAAGCAAAAAAATCAAAAAAGGTTAATTACCCCCCCCCCCCCCCCCCATTCAGTTCTTGTTAATTTTAGACATTGCCCCCCTCTTTAAGCCCATAAAATTAGATGTTGCCCCCCTGTGGACTCTCAATCCCCCTTCCTGATAAAAATATTGCTCAGTCCCTTAAAAAGGTCATGGTCTCGGCAAATGGTGGAGGTCCGTACTGGGTAACGACACCGCTGTTCTGGATGAATAAAGAATTATCACGGCTGACATTACGGCTGCTCTTCTTTTTTAATATTATCATTTTTGGCCGCACTTTAGATTGGAACCAATTCTTCTAGACATAAACTTTACAAATGTAAATCACTCCAACGTAACGATTTTCGTACGTACCGGCCAGGGACTACCAAGAATAGTGAAAACTAGTTTCGTTTATTAAAACCTCTTCAGTTCACTATATGTTTTACAACAGTTGAAGAAAAATTCGTAAAATTCTTCTAGATTGTTGCAGCATACGATCTGTTTCACTCCATAACACTGTACCACCTTTCAAGTCTGAATATATTGCCGAAACGCTCTTTTTTACTTTTTTCAATTTTTATCATTCTCCCGTGATTTCGGTAAATTATTTCGACTCCCGGAAATATAGTTTTTCGTGCCAATTGTATACTATGCCGAGCGGCGAAGAAGCTTTAATTGTCAACTGAATTTGGTCAAAAGGAAGACTATCTACACCTAAATACATATATGTTATTTACCGTCTGGGAGGTCCGTATAGGAAAACACTGCCCGAGGTATTGACAGTACGAAACGAGCGCAGCGAGGTCCGTACATAAAAGACAGAGGGCAGTGTTTTCCTATACGGACCGACCTATAGCCGGTAAATAACATTTTTATTTTTTTTTTATTTGCATTTTATGCAACTTCAGTGCTCGCGGCCTTGCTGCAGGATACCGTCGGACCGGGCAGATCGTCAAAAACCGGACCGCGTGCTAGCCAATCACAGCGTGCGAATAACTAGGATACCGGACCGAAAAAAAATAAAGTAAAGTATCTTAGASACTGGATTTACATTTTACTGTGATTTTGGTGAATCATTTTGACTCCTCGACATATAGTTTTTCCTGGCATTCTGTCCGGGAGTTCGTCCTGAGACGTGAAAAATCTAAGTGCCAAGTTGATTGTATACAAACCAGAAGGGGTTAGTCACGTATGGACCAGGATCCGACTAATCACTTCTCTCGTGCATGGGCGCAGCGGTAATCCATTCGGATGGTTGACCGTTTTGTACTCGTTGTTTTTTTTTTTTTTCATTTCTGCTCTTCTTTTTTAATATTATCATTTTTTGGCGCACTTTAAATTGGAACCAATTCTTCTAGATTGTTGCAATATAATCCGTTTCACTCCCTAGGCTGTACCACCTTTCTAGTCTGAATATATCGCCGAAACGCTCTTTTTTACTTTTTTCATGAATTTTTATCATGAATTCTAATTTTTGCATGTATTTTCAAGGTACAATTATTGTAGTCTACGAGGCGCGCGGACTCCCTTGGTTTTGAAACCTGTAAAAGAGCGTTTGCTTACATAAGGATGCCAAAGACGTCTAAAGTATAATAAAAATTAAAAAAATCGAATGAAATTATTGAGTAATCGTATTATAAGATGACTTCTCCGATATCCGGAAAAAATCTATCGCACAACTGCAAAAAGATTTTCAAGATCGATCATTATCTTTTCAATATTCTCTCATTGAAGTAGTATTTTTTTGAAAATGTATAAAAAGTTTTTCATGAATAATTTTTTGGTCCCACATGGCAGAGTGGCGATGTGTTAAGTTTCTAACGCAAGGTGATAGTCAATAGTGCTTAGGGTCCGGCTAATCATCTCCCTCATTGGCGGAACGGGTGCCCATCCAATTGGATGGGTGCCCCGTTTTGATGGTACATTGAAGACCAGTTTTTTATTTCTTCTATGGAAATACTCTTTTTTTAACTTAATTGTATTATAAAATAAAANTTTTCGTGAAAACTTTTTCCCGGTCCCACATGGTAGCGCCGTTGCCGGAGTTCCTGGTATAACGTCACCAATATATGAAAACTTTCTAATACAAAGAAAATATTTTTTTCTGAAGCTTCATTTTTAATATCTTCCACATACTTGCAGAAGTGATATTCTTATAAATTAGAATTCATGATAAAAATTGAAAACAGTAAAAAAGAGCGTTTCGGCAATATATTCGCACTAGAAAGGTGGTACAGTGTTATGAAGAAAAAAACGAGTACAAAACGGTCACCTATCCGAATGGATGACCGTTGCGCCCAGCCACAAGGGAGGTGATTAGTCGGATCCTGGTCCATACGTGACTAACCCCTTCTGGTTTGCATGTATTTTCAAGGTACAATTATTGTAGTCTACTAGGCGCGCGCACTCCCTTGGTTTTGAAACCTGTAAAAGAGCGTTTGCTTACATAAGGATGCCAAAGACCACAGGTAGCCCAAGCTCTACTCTGAAGGCAAAAAATTGAAAAAAGTTTTAACGAAATTATTTGAACTTACATACATGTTTTTCTTGCGTTTTATATACCTGGTGTGTATTTTTTTAGATTTTACCTTGTTAAGGCCCCTATTAATATAAGTGACAAGGTAGGACACCAAATGAACTTTTTCGACGATGACCAAAACAATGATCAAAACGATGATCAAAACAAGTCGTTTTCGTACCAAATAAAAAGTCAGATGAAGATTTCGCTTCACTGGACTTTAGAGGGATAACAATCAAATAAATCTGTGTCTTTCTTTTTGCACTATCTAAGTCTACGAACGAGCAGTTCTCGTGTGGATTTCAAACTCAACTTCAACGACCGCCATTTTATCCGTGACACGGTCATGTGTACCCGCAGTTGGTTTTGTGCACCAACGGAGTCTCCTCGCGAGTGTTTGAAATGTGGCATTGTTTCCAGCCTCGAGCGTGAGCGTTGGGTACACATGAAGTTGAGTTTGAAATCAACACGAGAACTGCTCGTTCGTAGACTTAGATAGTGCAAAAAGAAAGACACAGATTTATTTGATTGTTATCTCTCTAAAGTCCAGTGAAGCGAAATCTTCATCTGACTTTTTATTTGGTACGAAAACGACTTGCTTTGAGAAACGGTCATCGCCGAGAAAGTTCATTTGGTGTCCTATTGTCACTTATATTAATAGGGGCCTTAACAAGGTAAAATCTAAAAAATACACACCAGGTATATAAAACGCAAGAAAAACATGTATGTAAGTTCAAATAATTTCGTTAAAACTTTTTTCAATTTTTTGCCTTCAGATTAGAGCTTGGGCTA